AAAAAAAAAAAAAAAAAAAAAAAAGAAAAAGAAAATGAAGCGTGGGTCGAGCGCAATGTACCTAAAAATTATACGTAAAAAGGAAAAATATTATATATTTTTTTTAATTTCTTGCCCTTGAGCAGCATGCAAAATAGGAACCTAAAAAACAAACGGTTTGCATTTTTTCGGAACAGGTCCTTTTGCATAAATTTGGGCTCTTGAAAAAACATTGGATTTTTTTTTTTTTGTTCGATCCCTTTCCCTAATTGCAATGTTTTTAAAGGCTTTCATTATGGTGCATACAATGCAAACCGTTCCTGGGGGATCATATCGGGGACAAGTGCCTTCCTCATTTGTGTAGATTTTTTTTTTTTTTTTTTTTTTACAATTTTTCCATTTTTTTGTGTATGTTTTACTTTTCCCAACAAGAATAGGGTTTATAAGAGTGGGATGCCTCGTTCCGCGATTTAAGCACAACACCTTTTTTGCCCATGTTGTCATGTACACAATGCAGCTTTTAAAGTTTTATTTTAAATAATTACTTTATATAATGTGTATAAGTATTTGTGCTGGTGCACACATTCAGAGTTTTGCTTTTGCGCGCACTCCCCTCTCAAAGCATACGTTGCTGTGTGGGTGTTATACATATGAAGAGTTGTCACCCGCGAGTTGCTACATATTCATGTGACCAAATTGATTACCGTTGCTTTGTACATTTCTACGCAGAATCCCAGGGCAGCAAAATTCATTGTGGCATTTTGTGGTTGTGTATACAAAGTATGCATTTTTGCTTCTTCCGGGAATGCGACCAAACTTGTTTGAAGGCACGTTGGAGAACACACCGGAAAATTTCCTCATGTGCAGGCTCCACAGTGTGCTGTGCTCCACCATTTAAGAAACAAAACAAGTGTGCCCCCCTTTTGTTACATACTTTTTGAAACTTGCATTTGAGCGTATTAAGCTCTCATATGACAGACATATAATTTTCATGATTGTTAAAAGGGCCAACCTTTTTTTTTGTGTAAGCATGCTGACCATGCCTGGTAGACAGTTTAAAAAAGAAAAAAAATTATTTTAAAATATTTTTAAATTATTCCATTTGTGTACCCATTTGTGTTCACTTTTGTGTTCACTTTTGTACGTTGCCCCCGTGGGTACTGTTAACAGTTTTTATTTCCCCTACGGGAATAATTTCCTGGCGCAATTTTTTTTTTTTTTTTTTTTTTTTTTTGCGTATATTTTGGCTAGGCGCGTTAAAAGGGAGCATCCCGTGAAAGACCACGTAAGCGAGTTTTCATGCATTGGATGATCACTCATGTGGGGCCCCCTTTCCAGACACGTAAACAAAGGTTGCACGTGACTTCTGAATGATACGCGATGAAATACAAAGTGTAAGGGACATACATATCGTACATTTTAAGAGGAAAAGCAAGAATTTTTCATTTTTTTCTTGCACGGATGAAGGAAGTGAAAAGATGTCCTCCTAATTAATCACCAAGGGTTCTCTCATTCTCTTTTGAGCCCGAAGAGGAGAGAGAAAATACGTGACGAAAAAAAAAAAAAAAAAAAAAAAAAAAGAATTACAAGCAGTATTGGAAGCATAAGGATATGTGTACCTTTGTGAGCTTCAGCTAAGACAGGCGATTCGAATTTTTTTTTTTTTTTTTTAAGATAGCTCCGCGTAAGGTATAGGACAATTTTTTCCTCAAAATTTGAAGGGATTTATAACCAAATTTTGAAGCAACTTTGAATTGTGCGAATTGTTTTTATCCATTTGGAACGTCGTAAAATTTTTTGAGTTGCTCCAAAAACGCGTGTGTAGGAGGATGCGTTCCAAAATAATCGCTTCCCCTCGCGCAGCAGTTAGGTTCCCGCTTCTAGGAGTTTAACCGCACGGGCGTTCAATTTGACGCCATCGCAGGAGAGGCCTTATATCAACGTGTGAGAAAACACTCCATGGAGGGTAAAATCCAAAAGAAGTACAAAGTGGTGAAGAACGAAGATGTGAACCATCGGTATACTATCAACGACGTAGAGGTGTACTTCCCCTACGAGCTGTACGACTGCCAGTACAATTACATGTTGAGCGTTTTGAATGCATTGAAGAAGAAGGAAAATGCCATTTTGGAGTCCCCAACTGGGACGGGCAAGACGCTATGTCTGCTTTGCGCGAGTATTAGTTACCTGGTGGACGTGATGGAGAAGAAGGGAGCTTTCACGGAAAATATAAACATCACGGAAAATAAAAAAAACATATCATTTGATTTTAAGGAAAGTGAGAATAGTAAAGGTAGCCCAACGAAAGCTCCTCCTCCAAATGAGTTCCCCAAAATAATTTACGCATCTAGAACCCACAGTCAATTGAAGCAAGTTATAAAGGAGTTAAGAAATGTGTATTTTATTAAGAACAATGAAAAGTACAAACTTATGACAACCATATTGGGTTCCAGAGATCAGCTATGTGTTCATAACATTAATTACAATTATAAAGGAACCATGTTGAATAATATGTGTAAGAGGGCGAGGAAAAATGGAGAGTGTATGTACCACAATGGAGTGAAGCACATATACAAACTAAAACATTTATTTACTATCCCTATGGATGTCGAAACACTTTGTGAGATAGGAAAAGGGAACTCGGTAGGGCAAAATGTCCTTTTTTGCCCATTTTACGCTACGAGGGAAATTCAAAATGAATGTCACGTAATTCTACTTCCATATAACTATCTCTTCGAAGAGAGCACAAGGAAAATTCTCAAGCTGCACTTGGAACATTGTATCATTATAATTGACGAAGGGCACAATATAGAAACTGTTGCGGAGGAAGCGGTGTCCTTCAAAATTAAAGACTCCGACTTGAATCTCTTTCTGGAGGGCATCAAGGCTACGCTAACTGTGTTAGACAAAGTGAAGGATGTTGATAAGGAAATGAAAGAAAGAATCAATGTGGACGAATTGTTCATACTGAATAGGAGTATCACAGCGTTGATCTCCTGGCTGGAGAGTGAAAGGTTAGAAGAAAATAAAAAAAATAAAATTAAAGAAAAGCATAAGACATATGAAGGGAAACAAATTTTTGATATTTTTCAAAAAAACAATATAAACATAACAAAGGATAATTTTGATAAGTTTCGAAATTTGCTTTCAGCCATGGTGGAGTTACTGAATAGATATATCAACGACTATAAGATAACCCATATGGACGTGAAAAATATTAACAGGTACATCGCTACGATTGATAATATTCGCAAATCCTTCAGCATTCTCTTTAGCGATATAGTAAGAAATTGCATTGAATATTTTCAATTGTACATTAATGAAGAAAAAGTGGCTTATTCTGAATGTAGTGATGTGAGCAAAGTATATGATAACATGAAAAAATTTACCATGAATAAAACAAAAATTGTTTACGATAAGTATAATTATACCATGAGCAAGAATATATCACTTTTGTGCTTTTCTGCCACTGCAAGTTTATTAGGAATTATAAAAGAAAAAGTCAATTCGCTAATTGTAACGTCTGGGACACTGTCCCCAATTGAACCATTTTCCAAACAACTTAGTGGGAATTATTTTTCCTTCAAACATATCCTTGAAAATGACCATGTGATAAAATCTCATCAGCTATTCGTTGGGTGCATGACGCATTATAATAATCAAATTTTACTCTCTACATATGAAAACAGGAGCAATGAAAATTATATGAAAGCGTTGGGGAATTGTATTTTCGATCTTATTATTTGTATCCCATATGGTGTGTTAATTTTTTTTTCCTCGTACAGTTCTATGACTGAAACGGTAAATGCTTGGAAAAAATTTAAAATTTTCGAAAAAATAAATTCTTACAAAACCATTTTTGTGGAACCAAATAAAGCAGCAGAATTGAAAGACGTCCTACATCAGTATGAAAATCTTATCAAGAAGAAAAGGAAGGGAGCTATTCTTATGGGCGTTTGTAGAGGGAAAATTTCGGAAGGTATAGACTTCAAGGATGACTGTTGTAGGGGAGTCATTATTTGTGGTTTGCCATATGGAAATGTGTATGACACTAAAATTATTTTCAAGAAGGAATTTCTCGACCATTTTAAGTACGAATCTGCTGGAAATGATATGCTGGGTGGGGATAGTGGAGCGGGTGCTCTATCAAACAACACTACATTATCAAACAGTTCCAAGGGGAACAAATGGTACAATGAAGAAGCAATGAGATCGATCAACCAGTCGATAGGAAGAGTCATTAGACACAAAAATGACTATGGGTCTATTTTCTTTTTGGATTCCAGATTTTCCAACAACCAGAGGATAAAGGAAATCTCCAAATGGGTCAGGACTCACTTCCGTATATATAGAGACATCGAACAGATTCAGAGTGATATAGACAAATTTTTTGAGCTCTTTAAGGGGATACAACAGAACAATCTGGAGGCAAGCGCCAGTGCAAGTGCGGGGGAAAATACCAAGGGGGAATGGAATAGCAGCAGCACTACGGAAAATACACGTAGTCATATGGAAAAAATCGGAAAGAATTTTCAAGACTGTTATATTAAGAGTAGTAACAATAAGAGTAGTAGGAACAAGCATTCCATGGCACAGAACAAATTTGTCTTCAATCCTAGTAAGAAGATGAAAAACCAACCCAAAATACTTAGCATGATACAGAATATCACCAAAGGGAAAAAACAGGAGAAGAGTATTTTGATCGATGATAACAAAGATCTGAATATTTTTAAAAGTGGTGATGAGGTGAGTACAGAGCAGCCTGGTGGAGCTAAGCTCTCCAGCACCAAGTTGGACAATGCCAAGTCCCTCATATCATCCTTTAGGGAAATTTTATCGAAGGACATCTACGATCAGGTTTTCAATCTCATCAAGGATACCAAGATGAAGAGCAGCGAGAATAAGTACGAGTTGATGATTAGCAAAATTTTGGAGCTGGTCGTTCAGAATTTTGTTCAGGAGAGAAGGGAAGCCTCAGGTGCGGGAAAAGATGCAAATGGATGCCCTAAGAAGGGCGAAGATGACAAGGATGACTCTCTCAATGATACATATGTCCAATCAAGTGCAACACAACCCTTCAACGATGTAATGACCCCGCGTCAGTTGAAGATGGTGTGGGAAATGTTGGTTAACCTCATTAACAATTTCTTGCCAGTTCAAGAAAAAGAAAAATGTTTTTTAGTACTTCAGAAGAAGTTTAAGGAGAGGGCCACGGACTTTGACGAGTTGGACAAGTATGTGTACAATTATAGGCTGGAAAAAATTGAGATTATTTAGGTAGGGGAATGCGCTGTGAAGTGTAGCATATGTGTCTTTTGTTTTTTTTTTTCCTCCTTTTTTTTGCGCAACTCCCCCGTTGTACAATCATTAAGGCCCTTTTACTAGCAAATGGCCTAACATCCAATTGAATTTCGTGTGTGTTTTGTGCAGCCTGTCTTTGACCAGCCATTCAAGTGGTTACCACACCCCTTCTACATTTTCGTGGTCATGGGCCATTGCAACGGCTCAAACTTGGAGCAGCTTTTTCGTGTGCTGCACCCCAATCAGTCTGACTTATCTCCTCTGTCTTACTAATTCCTTTTTTTTCTGTGTCCAAACGAAAACTTTTTTTTTTTTTTTTAATTTTTTCAACGGATGAATTGTCAGATGTTTCGATGTCCTTTTTTTTCCCAACCTGTTTTGCACCATTGCGGAGGAAACCCCTTTGTAAGAAAAAAAAAAAGAAATGGCCAAGGAGACGGCGAAGGTGCGCTATGTACACGTAGCCGTTTCAAATGCCTCAAGAGGACCCGTTCCGCCAGGGAATGCTTAAAAATGTCATTCAAATGTAACGATGCATTTTTTTTTTTTTGTTCAATAAATATTTACTATTTATCTGTATAAAGGAGTTGTACATGTGCCGATTAAGAATGTGTACATCTTCAAGGAGACTGAAACAAAAAAAATTATGTTTAGCTCTGGTAACGAACTAGGGGAGGTAGTTTAGCCCTTCCACTCTACTACTGTACTTGTGCTGTGAAGTGGGGATAAAAGAGAAACAAAATAAAAAGGAGCGCAGATGAACATAAATAGGCATATACATAAAGGTGCATTCATATATTGTCCATGTGGGGGCAATTAAGGGTGGGTCCGTTTATGTCTACTCACCAGCCGATTTTCCATGTGCTTTTTGAATCTGTTGTATACATATTTTATTAAAACTACAAAGGTGAAAAACACCAGGGAGGCCAAGAAGGTTATGAGGAATATCTTCAATAGGCTAGCGTAGGGAAGAAAGGGAGGAGAGAATTCCAAGGGGGGGTGACCATTTTATTGAATCTGAGCATGTACATATATATAAGGTACATGTATTCAATTGGCGTGGTTCACTCAGACACCTACCCGCGCGTTGAGCTCATATTTTTTAAAAGTTCCACATTGGAGTTGTCGGCGGTTATGGGCGAGCCAACTTGGTGTCTCTTCTGAGACAAGTAACTTTGGAGGCCACCACTCGGGTTGTTCTTGTGGTAGTCGTCCCTCAGGCTGTTGGTGATTCTTCGCAGGATATCTGCAAATGGGGGGAAGAGCACAAATTGGGGGAAAAAAATAACAGAAAAAATGGGGGAGAAAATTAAGTGGACTGTTGAGCGGCCAAGTATAATGCAAAGGTGAAATTACGTGCGCTGTTCGTTCACCGCAGGACAATCCCTGCAGCCAAAATTTTAATCATCACAAAAAAAAAAAAAAGGAAAGCCACATTATGAATTTTTTTTTTCTTCAAATTTTACCTTCTCTGTTCTCTTCGTATTTTAGGACAAACTTTTTCGTCTGCGCTTGTTTTAGCTTTTCTTGTGTTTCCAATTCAGAATCCTCGAAATGACCGCGATGAATAAAACTGCCGCAAATGCACGTACTTCCCAGGCGGGACGAACTGTCCAAACAACCCACATTTCTTACGCCTTTAATTCCGCCCCCGTTCTTTAGCCTTCCCAAGTGTGCGAAATTTTCGGGGTTGATATAGGTTGTCACTTCTGTCGTATCCATGAATTTCCTTTTCGCAGCAGAGACAGACAGGGAGGAAAATGGTACATGGGTAAAATTTCTGTACGACTTTTTTTTTATGAACAAATTGTCCTGTGTAGGTTCAGGGGTGTGTACACGTTCGTGGCGCCACAGCAGCGGATGTATAGTCCACAAAAGAAATTAAAAGGGTCATGTGATTGTGTAGCGGTGGTGTTTGCGATGAGACAATACGGTGCGAATGTATAACGGCAATACACACAACACACGCAAAGTGAAGCAAAAAATTTAACACAAGGGACGTGAGTTTTTGTAGGGCTCAGAAAATTGTAAATTTTTTTTTTCCCATCCTTTTTTTTCCCACTTTTGCTAACACATTTAAGGAGCAGAAGGGAGAAACAAAATGGAATGGCGAAAAAAAAAAAAAAAATAATAACAAAATAAAAGCAAGTTAAGGTCAAATTAGGAGCATGTTTTTATGGCTCATAATTAGAATAATTCTTCACCACAAGTTGCATTTGTGTGTTGCTGGTGTAGAAGTTAAAAAAAGCAATCCACTTCAAAAAGGAAGAAGAAATAAAAGTAAAATGAGCAAGTGCACGGACGAAGAGGTAAGAGGACAAACACAATAGACAAATGGGGAAACTGCAAATAGGACAATTAACTGGCAACCACGAAAAAGAAGGTAACAACTTCTCTACTTCTTTTTTTGCTTCTCATTTTTTCCACATTTCATGTTTTTTTTTTTATTCTCAAATATCGCCATTCGCGCTTGGACACATTTGTGCACACTTGAAAAAAAAAAGGGAATGCTACTTTTGCCTAATTTCTTCTTCAGGTCTACACGCCATGAATGAGAACATGGTAAGAGGCATTTATCGTCCATGCACCCCAAGCGTGCTTCGGACTAAGGAAGACAAGGAATGCTCTGCTTTTTTTAGCAAGTCGGGTACTTCATTGGGCACGCTCGTGGGCACATGCAAGTTTGGAGGGTAATTCTGCACCAAGTTGGATCAATTTTGAGGTATTTTTTGCAATTTTTGAAATATCTGCAATTTTTTGCCAAGTAGAGGACAATATTTCACGCCACGAAATGTTAAAAAAATCACCTTTTTTCTCCCCCCTTTTACGCACCAGAAACATGAATGGCTCGAACGTACCAACGGAAGGGGACCCCATATAAAATGCCCCCAAAATAGGACTCGCCCCCCAGGGTACCGCACCGAATGAATTGTTTTCACATACGAGGGGTTAAACAAATAGGAGGACTAACAACATGACTGTGTGGACAAATCGGATTAGTGGGAAACTGTTTCATCATTTCATTTTTTTGGAAATCCTTTTTTTTTTTTTTTTGTTTTTTCCTTTTCGCAAGATGTCTTTCCAGAAATGGCCTGATAGGGGGACGACTGCTGGGCAGGAAGAAGAACCTACTTTGCTAAAGCGTCCCATTTTCATGAGCGCAACTATAAAAAAAGAAGAAAACCGAATGGACGGAAAAACAGACCAGAAAAGCGATGAGTATTAAAGAAGAAGAGCATCATTGTGCATTTAATATTGGGGGGAACCAAACATGTGTGGACCTCTATACCCTGTTCATAGCGGCCATCAATTTTGCATCTCCCCAATTTTTGTGTTACAAAGGGAGGCATATTAGTTTGTGTCCGAGTTCCACTTTCTTCGCGCGCTGCAAAGAGGTATGTATCATTTTGAATTGTTTTAAGGTAAATAGGAGCCTTGGCGCCAGCAAGGTCCTTGGCAAAAAGCCTTTGCAAAGGAGCAGTTTGCTGTTGTTTCATCAGGAGGGTTCAGAATAATTACATGCAAAGCCACATGAATTGGTGAGTGCCTATTTTGCTCTAGTAGGGGGGCCATACCTGCCGCGTTCTTAAATTATCGTTTGCAATTTTCGCAAATCAACATTTGTGGCGCAATGGGACATGATCAATAATAAGAGAAAACGGTGGCAACACCGGGATATAGACAAATGATATTTGAGGGGTGTGCACGAGCGAGGCGCTTCACGACAAGGGACCCGTTTCTAATTGGAGCATCCAAGTGAGGGCGCGAACAAAAAGGTTAAGAAAAGCACTAGAAGAAAAAATTAAAAGAAAACCTGTTCGGACGATTGCCTATACATTAAACAATCGTAAAGACATCTTTATCCCTGTTGAAAAAATATTTGTGTTTTGTCCCCTTCATTTTGCGCTTTCTTTTTTCGCCAATTGAATTAAATTCCGGAGAGCTCCCGGCACCTCACGGGGAAAACCTCGCTAATTCCACCTTAAAATAAAATAAGAGGACACACACAAAAAAAAAAAATGTAAAACCGTTTCTACATACAAAGAATGGTGGATGCACACTGCTGTTGCATCATAAAGGAAAATATGTTTTACTGATTTGTTTACTTCCCCCCCCCCACCCACACACACACAGTTGGTATTATAAAACCTCTTCTGAGCTGAATTGTATATCGGTTTGGGTGGCATTTTTAAGCTCCATGTTAGTGCTATTTAACGAGGTACGTTCTTGTCACCCCTAAATGGTAACCTATACCTCCTAAGCGAATATAACTGACGAAAAAAAAAAAAAAAAAAAAAGTTACCTATCGCTCGTGGAGACCTCGATAGGAATGCCTTTGCGTGAGCTCGCTAGACGTGGATACCCGCACCCGTGTGTACACGTGTGCGCAGACATTCATTGCCACGACGCATTACCAATACGCACTGTACAAATGATTAGGAAAATATATGCGGTACGCTAACAGCCATTTGTACCGCTGTGCCTCTTGACTCCATCCCGGAGGATGAATGTGTAAAGCCTGCATACACATCGCAAGTCTTTAATTACCAAGCTATTCATTATAGTTCGCCTCGCCAAAATATTATTCTCCGCGCAGTAGCATGTTTCTACTTTTTTAGGAGATTTTCTTCTTCGAGCTACTTTCAAAATATTGATGAGAAAAGGAGAGCGCCAGTTGTGTGTGTTACGGTGTCATTTTATTCCTTTTCCTGAACCGATATTTTTGCCTTCTTTTAAGGCTGTTCTTTTTTTTTTTTTTTTTTTTTTTTTTTACCATTTTTCACTGCGCATGATAGTAGAAATTATTATTCGAATGACAGACGCATATTTGTTAATGTAGATACGCATACGTAAATACACACCCAAATGTGAATGTTACCAACTGAACAAAAAAGTCCACGTAAAGATACACACATGGCACATGTGCCTGTGGAAATGCATCAGTGACAAAGGTCATTCGAAGGGACTTTTCGTCTTTACGTTATTATGACCCTCCGCTTGTTTGCTCATATACGCACCTGCACATTTGCTCATTTGCTTATCTGCTTATTTGCACATTTGCTCATTTGCGTTATTTGCTTATTTGCACATTTGCTCATCTATCCGTATACCCCTTTGGGCGTTTACACAATTGGTATGTCCCCCCGTGGCATATCCCCCCCAAGTGTTAGTTCACCGCAGCCTGCCCTTTGAGGCACCCTCATAACACTGCACTACACGTGGGAGTGCATCCACTCGTCATTAGAGCGAATTGCATCCCGTTGTCCATTGGGGGCACCAAATTTTTGTTCATAAATAGACGCTCCTTAACTGTGTCGCCGTTTCCCTGTTACCCTTTATTGTGGGCGTTTATGTCTGCCCCGATTTATTCTTTTGTTTTCCTTTTCTACTTGCTCTGCTTTGCTCGTCTTTGGGACGCTTTGTTCCCTTTCGTTGTGCTTTCTGGTACCACACCCTGATTTACGGGTAGGCCCTTTCTCTCGCGGAACGCACTCGCTGCAACTTCACCTGTGTCCGCTTTCCCTTTACACCCAAATAGTATCATTAGTCAGAACAGTAACAATTACACAGTGTGTTGGAAGCAGTGGGGCTAGTGGTAAATACGGGGCTTTTCATTAGCATTTTTGTACATAGACATAACTAAACGAGGAAGGAGGGTAAAAATCCTCATTCCGTTTGTAGTAGCCTCGCCATTTTTGCAACTCGAACGTGAACACTGCCGATTTGTGTGACATACCAACGTGTGCAAATCATTGCCATTGTTAATTTCCGCAGCGGCAATACGTTTGTGACATTTTGAGCGTCTGTTTTTTGGAGGTGCCTCTTCACACACATTGCGAGGAACACTCTGCAAAAGGGATGAACTACCCCCCCACACACACACCTGCGCAACGGGTACATATGTAAAGCACCTATAAAGGGTATATATACATGTGCCGAGCGTAGTGTAAAATAATTAACCTGTGTGAATAACATATCCCTATCTGCACGTACATGAACCCACAAGTGCGATGCGCGTTGAGTGTATATACACGTTATGTCAAAAGTGCACATATAGTAGCAGTTCTTTGCTGATTTATACATGTGATGACTCCCTCATTTGTTTTCGCTACCGTCCGTACCCCCTCAAACGGGACTCTTAAGTGTGCGCAAGGAGAGACCTATCCCAAATTGTTGGCTCAAGAAAATACAACTCCCTTTTCCGCGAGTTGTAATAAAAAAGGGTTTAGGAGTTATTTGAAAAATGCTTTCTTGAGGATATATATATATATATATTTTTTTTTATCGCATTATAGGTACATATATAAGCGAATAATTAGTATATGTTTTTTTTTTTCTTTTTTTTTCCACGCATTTGGTGTACCCTTTTTTTTTTTTTTTTTTTTTTTTTT